GTTATGACTACGATTTTCTCAAATTTATTTAAATATTAAGTTCTTTTATTATGTTAGTAGATCTTGCGTGTGGAATCATTCTAATATATTATTGTTAGTATTTACTATGTTAACATGTAATACTTGCCATATAATTGGTAAATATGTACTTTTTTATTTATATTCTCTTCATTTGGATTTGTTTGTCCTATTTAGGAAAATTAAAGATATTTTTTGAATTTATGTAGAATAATATTCCCTTTGTTTCAATTTATATGTGTGGTTTGTCTTGACACAAAGTTCAAAAATTAGAAAAGAAGTTGAATCATGTGATCTTAAATTAGATATATGCATTATGTACCAAAATGTCATTTAATCTTGAGGTTTTAAATATGTCATATTAAAAATTAAAATTGAAAAGGTATCCAAAATAGAAAAAGTCATTATTTTTTAAACAGTCTAAAAACAAAAATAATATAAACAAATTAAAACAAAAAGAATATTATGTTTGAATTTGTATAGAAAATTAAATACATTGATCCTAATTCCTAGTACTCTGAACTAATTCATATAGTCAACTGAAACAAAAGGGTAACATAAACTACACTTTTTATCTTTAGCCAAAAGACAAAATTTTCTTTGTCTCAATTTGAATGATACCGTTAGATTTTATACAGAGATTTTAGAAAAGAAGAAGAAGAAAGTTTGAAGTTTTTGATCTAAAACAAACATATAATTAAATTAAATAAATAGTAGTACAAATTTTGGACCAACAAAACAATTGAAGTACAAAAAACATGGATTGGGTAGTTGTTATCATATTGGATTTGGATGAATGGTCACGACACATACATATGGAGTTTTTTTAGGTGTAAATTAAAGTATTAAGATATAATAATCTCAGAATAAAATGTAAGTTTATTTTATCATGCATTTAATTAGAGATATTAAATTATTTATATTTTAATGATAATATAACTTATTTTAAAATAACTAATATCAAACTAAGTTATTTTCAACCAAACGATCTTATTAGTATTATATATTTTTGGGAAGTATGATGAGCTGGAGGGTGATTGGAATACATATACTAAAATGGAGCGCCGGACAATTTATTTTCTTTCCTAAATACGTATATGCAATACATTAAGCGGCTAAAAAGATAAAACTCCTACATACTTGGCTTTTGTCCAAACGCGTTATTTTTTTGTTTTCATCCGGTGTCCAGTATGGATGTCAGAAAAGTCCTATATCGAGATAAAGTCTACTCGATTAAATTTGAATTCGAATTGAGAAGTCCTATATTGAGGTAAAACGCTTCCTAACAAAGATGACTCCATATCTAAGGGGACTCAAACTCGAGATCTCTTGATTAAGAATGAAGGAGTACTTATCACTTCACCATAATCCTCGATGATATACGATATTATTGCAATTTGTCCTTTTCTTCCACATTTGAAATTCAAAAATTTGTCGAGCCGAGGAGGGGTATGTTTTGTAATTATTGGAAACAAGGTGGATAAATGTTGGAAAGAATATCGACTGTAGTTCAACGTTGTCATGAGAACAGCTTTTACCAGTTATACTGCCGTTACAGTGGGCCACGAGATCAACGACGAACCAGGGAATTATCACCTACACCTCAACACTACCATAATAACCTACTCAAACCAATAACAATGGAGAATAGTAAGCTATGTTTTTTTTGGAAAAAAGTCCACATAGATATATTTGCCAATAATTTAAGCATTATATTTTGGCCTTACGAGTGATGAATTTATGACATTCACAAATAAAAATATATTCGTCTAAAATTTTGAATTTGAAATCTCAAGATGAATTCTAAATAAATCAAATTATTTAGTCATCGTTAGTTTTATATTAACAGGATCCAAAAAAAAATATAAATATAAAAATATAATATTGTATTAGGAGGTTCAAAATGGATATGTAGCATAGTCAAAGACGCGGAGCTACAATACAACACGAGGGTTTAGACAAGCCTAGTAACTTTGTATAGATTCAGTACTTGTATCAGAAATTTCAATAAACTTGTATAAATATTGTAGTCTGAACCGACATATAAAATAAAATAGATGGTTCAATGGTAAGAACGAGGGTGCAAAATTTTCGATGCACGTTTGATTTTTAAAAAATGAATGCTTTTTTTAAGAAAAGACTATTTTTTCTTCGGGAAATGGTCAAAATTACCTCTGAACTATGTGAAATAGATCATTTATATCCTCCTTTACATTTGGAATTAAAAATATCTCTGTCGTTATTCCAAGAGACCACAAATATCCTCAAGAGTAAATAATTCAATTTTTTAGTAATGTGGCAAGCCACGTGAGACTAATCAAGACCCGTTTGGCCATGCGATATGAAACATGATACAAAATTATGAGATAAAATTGAAGTTTTGTTTGGACATGCAATTTGGACTTTTTATGTTGTATGTTTTCATATGAACATAAAAAACTCATAAGTGGTAAAACTATTAAAATTATCCCACTTCTTTAGACAATTTTACCAAATAAGTAAAAGTTCATAAATCACATAATTTACTATTAGAAAACTATTATAAAAAAATACAATATTTATTGCTCAAACTTTAATTCAATAAAAAATAAAATCAAACATAAGTTGTAGCGTCTTTAATATAATCATCCCATATAGTACGGTCAATCTTCTCACGTTGAACTTGCATTTCCCGACTGTATGACAGAGAAATGAACCAACATTATTACTTTGAGTCATTTGTTGGTCAATTTGATTGGTAAATAAATTTGATAAAAAATAAAGACATCCGTAAATATAAATGATAAAGTAGGAAATGATTTAAGGTAATAATAAATTTTATGTTTTTGTGAGAATAATCGTATGAGTATAAATATTTTTAAAAGTAATTAGATGAATTATAACTTTTATTTACATATAAAATAAATGGTTAGTAGATATAAATCATGATTTTTGAAGAATTTAAGATTTTATCTAATGATATGAAATCAACGTGACCACATGTCCAAACACTAATTTTATTTCATGATTTCATATCGCGATAAAAAATCACATGTCCAAACATCTATATAGTAAATAATGGTGGTTTGTGTTGCTTTAGACTTATTGGTGTCCATCGTTATATTAACCATATTCTTATAGTTCTAATCTTTTATATCTATTTTTTTACTCCCCTGTCTCTAATTATTTGTCTATTTTTGAATTGACACTTCTATTAAGAAATCAATAATTGACATAGTGAGTGTACAATTTTACCCCTATTAATTATGAAGTGGATGAATTAAAAACTTATTATTTTCAAGAAATTCTACCTTTTTTATAGTAATTAATTGAGGTTATAATAGATAAAAAAAATGTGTCATTTCTTGATTTGTCAAAATGAATAAGTAATTAGGAATAATTAAAAAAAAAAATATGGACAAATAATTAGGAACATAGGGAGTACCTTACTTGGTAGTGGTAATAAAAATATAAAATCTTGTATCTAAAAAAATTTTAAAATTTCAGACCGATTGTGAAAAATCCGTTTCACATAGGAAACAAATCACCTGTAGCCGCGTATCAAGCATATTCAGACCGACCCCCTATATTCTTGGTTAATTACTTTTTTAACCCCATAAATTCCATTTTCTTTCTCTCTCTCCAAAAAAACAAAATATACACTCTTTCTTCCCCAATTTGTCTTCTGTAGTAAGAAATTCAAACCAGCAAACAGTAAAAAGGCAAAAGCTTTCATACCCAAAATTCATCTTCAAATGCACATACTTTCCCTTCTAGTAAACTTCATAGCAGACTTGATAAGGTAAAAAAATTACACAAATCTCACTTTTTTTTTGGAAATTTTCAACAAACCCCACAAATGGATATTCATTATTCAGATCTCTTACTTTATTTCTAAAAAATTTCATATTTACACATTTTATGACCCTTATGTGTATTTGGGTATCAGGGCTTTTGTGTTTTTTTTAAGCCGGCTGTTGTAAGCTGCAAAAAAAAAAAAAAGAGCTTTTTTAGGTTAATTGTTTTGAAAAAATAAGCATAAAGTTTGAATCTTTCTTGGTTGATGTGTTCTTTTTTTCAAAATTTTGAGGTTAGTAAGTACTACTAATTAATTACTCTTTTTTTTGTGTTTTTTTTAATGGGGGTGACAGAAGAAAGAGGGAGGAAATGGGTGTTTGTGTATTTGGTCTTACGTAATAGAGATTTTTAATAATTTTATTTACAACCCTTTTGATTTAATTGGACAATGGAAGACTAAGTCTGAGTTGTAAAAGGGACCCTATGAAAGCTTTGTTAAAGTTGTAATTTGTAGTGTGTATATGTTTGCAAATAGTGTGTTTATATTTTATTGGTATTATGTTTTGAATATTTCCTACACGCCTTTAGGTGGCTGATTCTTTTGTTTTTATAAACTATGTCTTACATATCTATGTTAATTGTCTTATAAGTATTGGGCTACTGGTGGAGGTCTATATATCTCTACTTGTGCAAAATTATTATGATTTAGATGTATATAGGGAAGATTTGTATGTGAAGAGAAGGATCTGGTTGTGTTCTTGAACTTGCATTTTTTCCCTTCTGATTTTTGTCCACCTTGGTTTCTGGGAAAGCTTTTTGGGTTTTCCTGGAAATGGGCTAGGAAGGTCTTGATTCTTAGTTGTTGGTGTATCTCTTCAAGATTTAGGTGATCTTCTCTTCTGTGGATTTTTGTTATATTTTGAATTGGTTTGATGCTTTTCACACAAAATGATCAAGTGTGTTTTACTGAAAAAGGTGTCTCCTTTAGTGCTTTTTAACTAATAAAGTGAGAAGAGTGGCTTCGGAGAAAGAGAAAGGGTTTTTTTTTTGGTCATGCTTTTGTTTCAAAAAAAAGTTGAATCATTTTGAATCCAGAGATTGTAGTATATCCTTTTGCACTATTGTTTTTAGTATTTATTTTTCAACTTAAAGTTAGCTAATTCTCATGTTGCTTCTTTGGCCTTGTGCAGTTTCAGGTTTTGTTGGTCATCAAGTAATCTTTTAGCACAACTTTTAGCAACATGACTTCAAGATCCTTTAAAGCCTCTGATTCCCAACAGGGCAAGCATTCTGGTGTCACCTTTGCAAGGAGGACCTCATCGGGTCGGTATGTGAACTTATCAAGGGAATCTCTGGATAGTGAGATTAGTGGCATTGAATTTGCAAACTACACGGTGCATATCCCTCCAACCCCTGATAATCAACCTATGGATCCTTCAATTTCTCAAAGGGTGGAAGAGCAGTATGTGTCAAATTCCTTGTTTACTGGTGGTTATAACAGTGTAACTCGTGCTCACTTGATGGATAAGGTAATTGAATCAGAAACTAACCATCCTCAGATGGCTGGTGCTAAAGGTTCTTCTTGTGCTATACCGGGTTGTGATGGTAAAGTCATGAGTGATGAAAGGGGTGAAGATATTCTTCCTTGTGAGTGTGATTTTAAAATTTGCCGGGATTGTTATGTTGATGCTGTCAAAACTGGTGATGGGATATGTCCTGGTTGTAAAGAGTCTTACAAGAGCACTGATTTGGCTGAGAATGCTGTAGATCCTTCTGGACGGCCTCTGACTTTACCTTCAAATGTTAGTATGTCTAAAATGGAAAGGAGGCTGTCGTTGATGCGATCAGGTAATAAATCAGCGATAGTAAGAAGTCACTCAGGGTTGATGAGGAGTCAGACAGGGGATTTTGATCACAATAAATGGTTATTTGAGACAAAAGGGACGTATGGCTATGGAAATGCTATATGGCCAAAGGATGGGGGGCTTGGAAATGACAAAGAAGATCAAGGTGGTGAGCCTTCTGAACTTCTGAACAAGCCTTGGAGGCCGCTTACACGTAAACTGAAGATACCCGCTGGAGTTATTAGCCCATACCGGTAATTTTTCGTCCCCAACTTCTCTACTTCTTTGAATTCAAGAACAAATTTTGGTGAAATTACCCACATCGAAGTGGCTAGTGAAATTACAAATTAGTTTTAACACAAATGCTTCCTTCTAATCAACGAAAGATGCTAAAACAGTCATCATAGTTTTTCTTTACTGTAAGTTCATGGCTCTCCAATAACATGTGTAAGTTCTTGCTTTTATCTTGTAAGACTACATTACAAGCTTAGCTTCTTGAGTATACCATAGTTAAGAGACGGATTAATAAATCTAACTTTTGGTGGATACCATTAGGTAATCATGTCCTGTAGACATTGATTGGTTGCTTAATGCCTACTGCACTTAATTGGTACTATGTTTAATTATATTTGGTTTGAGAGCTGTCTTGACGCAACTCCATTTATGCAGGCTCTTGATTCTTATTCGCGTAGTTGTTCTTGGACTATTTCTTCAATGGAGGATTACCAATCCGAACAATGATGCTATATGGTTATGGTATATGTCCATAATCTGTGAGGTTTGGTTTGCAATCTCTTGGCTGCTTGACCAGCTTCCAAAGCTATGCCCCGTTAACCGTGCTACCGATCTTAATGTCTTGAAAGAAAAATTTGAAACACCAACCCCTACCAATCCCACAGGAAAATCTGATCTTCCAGGCATAGACATATTTGTCTCTACTGCAGATCCTGAGAAAGAGCCACCGCTGGTCACTGCAAACACGATTCTATCTATCCTTGCTGCTAATTACCCTGTTGAAAAGCTTTCGTGCTATATATCTGATGATGGAGGTGCTCTTCTGACATTTGAAGCAATGGCAGAAGCTGCAAGCTTTGCCAACATTTGGGTTCCATTTTGTCGTAAACATAATATTGAACCAAGGAACCCAGAAACCTACTTCAGCTTGAAGAAAGACCCTTACAAGAATAAAGTACGTCAAGATTTTGTTAAGGACCGCAGACGGGTGAAACGTGAATATGATGAATTTAAGGTTCGAATTAATAGCCTCCCTGATTCAATTCGTCGGCGTTCTGATGCCTATAATGCTCGAGAAGAAATCAAGGCCATGAAGCTTCAGCGAGAGGCAGCTGGGGATGATCTTTTGGAACCCATTAAGATAACTAAGGCCACTTGGATGGCAGATGGAACCCACTGGCCTGGTACTTGGATGATTTCTGCTCCCGAGCACTCTAGGGGTGATCACGCAGGAATTATACAGGTATTGATTCTTCATATTAATCATGTCTAGTTATTTGTTGCCTTCATCATTATTTACTGATCAGGGCATAATTATTTGATTCATAAATGATGCCTATGATCTCACACTGAATCCCCCCCTTTCTGTTCCTCCCTCCAAGGATGAGGAAAAAGAGGAAAGAAACTTAATTTACTTCTCCATGATTATTGTTAACTCTGTCTTTAGGGGATTCTCATTTGCCAACTGTACGCTTATTTTGGCTATTTTATACTCTTGGTCAGTTGACAATGACTTGTATGTTAGATTCTTGAAGTAATAGATTTGGTTTAACATTGTAAGTTGTTTTTCTTATTTTGGTTTCAGGTTATGTTAAAACCCCCAAGTGATGAACCCTTACATGGAACCTCTTCTGATGACGGTCTAATTGATTCAACAGAAGTTGATATTCGTCTCCCCTTGCTGGTGTATGTCTCTCGTGAAAAGCGTCCTGGCTATGATCATAACAAAAAGGCTGGAGCCATGAATGCCTTGGTCCGAGCTTCTGCCATTATGTCTAATGGCCCCTTTATCCTCAACCTTGATTGTGATCACTACATCTACAACTCCGAGGCAATCAGGGAGGGAATGTGTTTTATGATGGACCGCGGTGGAGATAGGATCTGTTATGTTCAGTTTCCTCAACGTTTTGAGGGAATTGATCCTTCTGACCGTTATGCAAACCACAATACTGTTTTCTTTGATGTCAACATGCGTGCCCTTGATGGTCTTCAAGGTCCAATGTATGTTGGGACTGGTTGTCTCTTCCGGAGGACTGCTCTTTATGGTTTTGACCCACCACGAAACAAGGAATACCACCCTGGTTGCTGCAGCTGTTGTTTTGGTCGGCGCAAGAATAATGCCACTGTGTCTTCTGTCTCTGAAGACAACAGGGCGCTTAGAATGGGGGATTTTGATGACGAGGAGATGAATCTTGCTTCCTTTCCTAAAAGGTTTGGTAACTCAAGCTTCCTCATTGATTCCATTCCAGTTGCAGAATTCCAAGGTAGACCACTTGCTGATCACCCTGCTGTAAAGAATGGACGACCACCTGGTGCTCTAACTATTCCAAGGGAACTTCTCGATGCCTCCACTGTTGCTGAAGCGATCAGTGTCATTTCGTGCTGGTACGAGGACAAAACTGAATGGGGTAATAGAGTTGGATGGATTTATGGGTCTGTTACTGAAGATGTGGTGACGGGGTATAGGATGCATAATAGAGGTTGGAGATCTATTTACTGTGTGACAAAGAGAGATGCATTCCGTGGCACTGCCCCAATCAATCTGACCGACAGGCTTCACCAAGTGCTTCGATGGGCCACTGGTTCTGTTGAGATCTTCTTTTCTCGCAACAATGCTTTTTTGGCTAGTCCTAAGATGAAAATTTTGCAGCGGATTGCCTACCTCAATTGTGGCATCTACCCTTTCACCTCGATTTTCTTAATTGTATACTGCTTCCTCCCAGCACTTTCACTATTCTCTGGTCAGTTCATCGTCCAGTCCCTGAACGTCACCTTCCTCACATATCTCCTCGTGATCACATTGACTCTCTGTGCACTCGCAGTGCTTGAGATCAAGTGGTCCGGCATTGCCCTGGAAGAGTGGTGGCGTAATGAGCAATTTTGGTTAATTGGAGGCACAAGTGCCCATCTTGCTGCTGTGCTTCAGGGGCTGTTAAAAGTGATTGCTGGCATTGAAATTTCATTTACACTGACATCAAAATCAGCCACTGATGATGATGATGAATTTGCTGATCTCTATATCATCAAATGGAGTTCCCTGATGATCCCACCTATTGTTATCATGATGACTAACTTGATCGCGATAGCTGTTGGTGTAAGCCGGACAATATATAGCACAATACCACAATGGAGCCGTTTGCTCGGAGGGGTTTTCTTCAGTTTTTGGGTCCTTGCTCATCTCTATCCTTTCGCAAAGGGGCTGATGGGAAGACGCGGAAGGACACCAACCATCGTATTTGTCTGGTCAGGACTTATCGCCATCACCATTTCGCTCCTATGGGTTGCGATCAACCCCCCTGCTGGTGCCAGTGAAATTGGAGGCTCATTCCAGTTCCCTTGATAGTTCCAAATTAGCTCCTCTACACATTCCATTCAAATTATTCTTTAGCTTCTACTTCTTTTTCTTCCCTCTTTGTAACAAAATGTGGCCTTGAATATTATGTGGATTTTGCCATCACTATTGTCCTTAAATTTTTGTTTATGGTTCAAATGTCCGTAGGAAAGGGCAAAAACCTCACTATAGATAGTACTATATATTCAAAGTTAGATTATTTTTTGATAATGCTTTAATACCATTTTTGGTTCTTTAAAGTTTTAGCTTTTCTTGCAATTCAAACAAAATAAACTCTAGACTTGTTTAAAACTAAAATTTGGTGCATAGTGTATACAATTTGAACAAGTCTAGTTGCTTGTGCTTGCATAAGAAAAGTATCATATTTTGTTCTTGATAATGCAGCTAAATGTCAATTCTTAAGTCATCTGTTGAGTATTTCCAAATTCATAAAAGTCATTTTTTTCTGTTTTTCAAACCAACTCCGTGACTTCTTCAAATTAGATTAGCTAAGAGGAGTGTCTCATGCACTTTGAGGAGTACACCATCAATACCGGAGCCATTCTTGTCCAAAGGATGTCAATTCATTGGACAATGTAGATGGTAAAAAGTAATATTAAATTATACATATACTATACATTGAATTCTCTTGACTTTTTGTGTCCTTAGTTCTTTGTATTTTGACGTCCTTAATAAAAATCATGACTCTACAGTCTGCTACTGAACATCATTATTACTCCAAAAAAAAAGGAAAGAAAAAGGTCGAACGCGTTAAATATTTTTTACCTCTTCAAATGGATGTAGTAGGTTTAGGTGGTTGAACAAAACAACTACTAGTCAGCTCAAGACTACCTAAGTTATATTTACCTTCCATTCTCAAAAGTTGAAAGAACTCACCAAACTTTGATTGAAAGAGTTGACAAACTCACAAACATATATGTTTTGGTCAAAAATATGACCAAGTTTACTAAAAATTAATTAGGTTTAATAAATATGGTAGTTGAATATATGCTCATAAAGACATAGTCCACTTGTCATTAGTTAATTACCATTTGAAATGTAACTATATTTATATGTTGGAAATGACATTTGATAAAAAATACTCCTATAGCTCATTAATGGTATTCAATATTTGATATTTACGTATAAAAAATATTTCATTTATATATACATTATAGTTCATTTTTAGAAAAATTACCTAAATACACAATTTATTTTACCATATTCTTTAGGATTCCCTACCATTTGAAAAATTTACAAAATCCCTATCTCTTATATTCTAGGATACATTACTTTTACGTGATGTATCGGGGCAGGTGTGTCTTGTATCAACAAAGGTAATGTACTGGGACAAGATGTATCGGACAAGTGTCTTTGTATCAACAAAGGTAATGCATCGGGACGTTGAGTAATGTATCGGAACGCGGTGTATCGGGATGTTGAGTGATGTATCCAAAATTGACGCGATGTATTGGAACTTGAGTGATATATCCGAAATCCTTAAATTTTAAGGAATTTTTGTAATTTGAAAAAGATTAGGGATATGATGTAATTAACTCTTAACACTATTTATGTAATTTTTACCATTTTTTCTCCCATCTAGATATCCTCCATTTCACTTAGGGTGAACGATGAACGTTGAGTGATGTATTTAAAATCGACGCAATGTATTGGGACTTGTGTGATGTATCCGAAATCCTTAAATCTTAAGGAGTTTTTGTAATTTAGAAAAGTAGGAATATGATGTAATTAGATCGTAACACTATGAAATTTGTGTAATTTTTACCTTTTTTTTCTCCCATCTAGATATTCTCCATTTCACTTAGGTGAACTATAGACCTAGATTTTTATTACTTTTCATAAACTTGCACATTTTATCTATTCAAATAGGTTGGCTTTAAATTTTTACTTTTAACAATCAAATTTATGCTTAGTGAAGCATAAATTATTTAAAAATTGAAGTCATGCCTATACATAACTTATGAAATATTATGATACGTAAATTCAATTTATGTCTTACGAAAAAATTATTTATTATGAGAGGCATAAATTAATGACCAAACACAAAATAGGGAAAAAGTGCAAATGGGCTTTTTAGAAGAAGTATGTGGGTTGGATTGATTTCCATATGGAAATTGGATTAAATTGACCCAACTGAGCCCCAAGTATTAGAAAATGCGAAAATTATGCAAAGTGGGCCTCTCGACCTTTTATTTTAGAGAAAATTGTATAAAATAACAAACTATTAATTTAAATTAAATGTTATAACCACAATTTCATTCAATTCTAATTCGTAGCAAACACTTTGTCATTCGCCTCTCTCCCCAAATTTCTCGCTCGCCACTCTCTTTGATCTCGCTCTCCACTCTTCCTCGCCTCTATCACTTTATACGAACACAAATGTATAATTTGTGTTTGTGTATGCATAAAGCGAGAGAAAACGGTATATACAAATACATATCTCTTCGTCCTATACACTTATAGCTATACAATACAAATATTCCCCTTCCCAGTTCTCTTTTGCCTTTCTTGCTTTATACAAAATACAATGTATAATTTCTGTTTGTATAAAGCGAGAGAGAGATTTGATATACAAATATAACTGTTTTAACTCGATTCAATTGTATACAAATACAATTGTTTTAATTTGTGATTTCATAGACATAGATTTATACGAATCGCTGCGATTTATACAAATCAGATGCCTGCAATTTTATACAAATCAAAGGTGCAACGATTTTTATATAGATCTGATGCTCCAAAGCAAACTATGTTTGCTGTGGAACGCAAATAGTAAAACTGTACTAAAATTTAATCTTTATTTTACAGAAAAATTGGCCCAATTTTTAAAATTACTAAAATAGGCCCAATATGTTCGTCTTCTTCAGTTTTTTTTAATAAAAAATTGACGTATCAAAAACATGAATCGTTTCGGGCAAATTATATATCAATAGACTCAAAACATCGAGAGAATTTCATATCTAAATTTGGTGTCTGTTTAGACTTCAGAGGTGATTTTAAGTTGATCAAGATTGAATTTGTTAGTGTATATTTTATGTATAGTTAAAATATATTCAGCCTTTTGAATCTATATATTATAATGTATAGTTAATGCTTAACTCATGTATATTGTATATTTAGTGTATATTTTTTTTATGACTTTTGATAAACTATATTGTATAAACAATGTATACTTTCTATGATTTTTGACTATTTTTTATGTAATAAGTAAACTAATTACTTTATTATATATATTTAAAATTGGCCCGATAGTATCAAATTAACAATAAGGGGCCATTTGGTCGAGTGAACACGCTCCAAGATTAATTAATAGTGACGAGATTATAATAATACTAATTTTAATAATGATTTGACTATTCAGTGAATATTGTTTTCTCTTCAACTGTCTTGTATTCATAATACTAGATTTTGTTGCCCGTGCATAAATGGTATGTTTTGGGACTAATAACGAAGTTTTTAAAGCGATTGTTTGCGTGGATAAAGGAATAAGTTTTTTTTATCACAAACCTGTACTTTCTTTGACGCTATTCAAGGCACAATAAGACTACCCACATACAACATTTTTGAACAATTTTATGTTGTCAATTATCACGATTTAATTTTAAGAATCAGTCAATTTTTTTTTCTGTTTTTTTAATAAATATTTTAAGTTGTCAATTATCACGATTAATTGTATTTTATACATAATTTTTAACGATAGATTAATTTCAAGAATCAATCGAATTTTTTTAAATGTATTTATTTTTGAAATATTTTATGTTGTCAATTATCATGATTTATAGTATTTTTACGATAGATTAACTTCAAGAATCAATGGAATTTTTTGTATCTTTTTCAAAACATATTTTATGTTGTCAATTATCATGATTTATAGTATTTTAACGCAATTTTTAAATATAAAAAATTTTAAAAAATAAGACAAATAAATTAAAATGGACCCAATATATGTTATTTTTGTTGTCTCAATTTATGTGACACAAATGAAATTTGGAGTCATTGAATATTATATATTATACTTGGGCATAAACTCTCTTACGCACGAGCCCAATAACTATTATTTTTTGTCCTAATGTATGTGACACAGATAAAATATAGTAAGTTATTTAAATTTAATATGATTTTTAAATATTTTAAGTTGTTAATAATGTAATTTATAATATTTTTACGTAATTTGTAAATACTTAATATATATTACTCCACTTGTCTCAATGTATGTAGCATAGATACAATTTCAAGAGTTAATCAAATGTTGTTAATTGTTAAGATTTACAATACATTTTACGTAGTTTTCAGTAATTTGACATTAAATAATACATATTACTACTTTTGTCTCATTTTATGTGACATTGATAGATTAATTTTAAGAATCAGTCAATTTCTTTTTTTGTGCATTTTTAATAAATATTTTAAGTTGTCAATTATCACGATTTATTGTATTTTATACATAAATTTTAACGATAGATTAATTTCAAGAATCAATCGAAATTTTTTATATGTATATTTTTTTAAAATATTTTATGTTGTCAATTATCATGATTAATAGTATTTTTACGATAGATTAACTTCAAGAATCAGTGCAATTTTTTGTATCTTTTTCAAAACATATTTTATGTTGTCAATTATCATGATTTATAGTATTTTTACGCAATTTGTAAATATAAAAAAAAATTAAGGCAAATAAATTAAAATGGACGCAATATATGCTATTTTTGTTGTCTCAATTTATGTGACACAAATGAAATTTGAAGAGTCATCCAAATTTGCACTTTTTTAATTATTTTTTTTTAAGTTATTAATTATTGTGATTTATAATATTTTTATGTAACTTTCAAATAACTTCCTAATTTATGTGATATGGATAAAATTACAAAATTAACCCTTTTAAAATGTCTTCAAGATATTTTAAGTTGTTAATTATTATTATTTTTAATACTTTTTTGGTAATTTTAAAATGATATATGTTATTTTTTCTGTCTCAATATATGTGACCCGGATAGAATTTTGAGAGTCAACCTATTTTATGGTAGAATTTTAAAAATTAAATATTTTAAGTCATTTGTAAATGATTTATTATATATATATATATATTATATAAACTCCCTTAG